CGCGTGAGGCCCACTCTGCTAGCAGCGCCAGTCGGGGGAGGGTTGAAAGGCAATTGCTTCACCTCCACTCAGCCTGGGTCAATCTCCTCCGCATCAGAGGCTGGTGGTGAACGACTGTTACCTCTGCTGATTCCTTTGGGGTTCCCAGCTTCACTCCCTCCTGTTACAGTCGAACCAGGCCAGCTGATGGAGCTAACAATGGCTGAATGGCAAACAGCCTCCAATTAGCAGCTGCACAGTACCAGCAGCCTCTCTCCCTGAATTGCAGCAGCCTGGCACCGCTCTGTTTGGGTGGGAGATGCAGAGTGCTGCGCAGCCAGCCTAGCTAATGCCTGTGGGTCCGGGAGGGGTCTATACAAGCCACACGCCAAGTCACCGGGCATGAGCTCAGATGTCACCAGGATGACTGGCCCTTCCAGCTACTGGAGAAACTGAGTCAAGGAGTAACAGGGCCAACCAACTGCTAGCGAGGAGCAGCAGAGCATGGGATCTGATGCTGCTGGGCAAATAACAGGCTACGTAGGGACGAGGTACAACCTGAGCAATGGTGCCCCAGGCTCAGATAATCCCTCATAAGTCTCAGCTCATCCCACCTTCTTGCTCCTGGGCACAGAATCACCGTTGGCCTCTGCCAAGTCTAAGTTACTAATCCTGCCCCCTCTGCTCCCACAGACCCATGCACATAGGCTAAGGATAGAAATACCCCTTGTGAGGATGGTTTGCTCTCCCTGGTAGGTACAGCCCAGAACATGGTATCTACTACAGCCGGTCCCCGAGTTACGAACGCATTGACTTACGACCATTCATATTTACAATCAACCTCTTATACAGCCGGTCCCCGAGTTATGAACGCATCGACCTACGACCATTAGTATTTACAACCAACCTCTGATACTGCCGGAACCCGAGTTACGAACAAAATCCGCACTGACAAACAGCCCGGCCGTACTAAGTGAATGTAATCCGACTTACGAACAGATCGAGTTCCGACCTAGTGTTTGGTACGTAACTTGTTCGTAAGTCGGGGACATGCAATACCCAAGCCAGCCGCTAATCGGCAGAGACGGTAAGGATGGAGCGAGCCACGAAACGTGAATTCCGTTTTCTCTCTTGCAGGGGTCCCTGCTGCTCCGCATGGAGGTCCATTGGTCAGGCAACATAGGAGGCATTTTTCTGGTTCCTACCCACTTGAGACGGAGAGCGCTTGTTTACAATTGACCTGCTCCAGCGGCTCAGCTCCGGCACGGTAGTCTGTTATAGAATCATAGAACTGGAAGAGACCTCAGAAGGTCATCAACTCCAGCCCCCTGCTCTAGGCAGGACCAATCTGACAAGCGGGGCTCCTATTGGCAGAAGGAATGCACGTCCCCAAGAGGTGCTAATTCTTCCATTACCGTAGTTCTGTCTGTATATCACTAGGGTTGGTCTAACTACATGGGGGTGAGGGTTTGGCAGCCCCGATTGCTGCAGCTGAGTCAGTGTAATTGTCTAGAGCTATTGGCAGAGGGAATGCACGTCCCCAAGAGATGCTAATTCTTCCATTGCCGTAGTTCTGTCTATATATCGCTAGGGTTGGTCTAACTACACGGGGGTGAGGGTTTGGCAGCCCCGATCTCTGCAGCTGAGTCAGTGTAATTGTCTAGTGCAGGCCAGAGTGGACTCCAGCCAGGAACCCGGGGTGAGAATTATGTAACACACGCAGCTGTATCTCACTAGCCAGGGGTCGTTGGCTTGGTTACGCTAACCCCTGGTGAGTGCACGTTCAGCTTCTTGCACTAACACAGACTGATCACGAGGCAGCTTCTTCTACAGGGTTCTGGCCTGTTTCCAAGGCTGGAAGGACAGGGAGAATTTGACCGTGCTTTGCTCTAGGCATTTCAAATCCTAGGTGCTATCCATCTCTGCTGACCTCAGCTGTAGCAGTACCCCAGGGGAGAGGTGAGCCCTCAGGGAGGCTGCTCCCAGACCGCATAGGGAATCGCCAGCACCTAAAACTCCTTGGCGACCACTGGGAAGCCAGTCCTGGTCCCAGAGCAGTGTGTCCAATGCTCCCAGCAAGATGCCTGACTCAATAAGCAGGTTGCTGTGTTCTGCACCAGCTTCCCTCCCCAGATGGTTTGAAGATGTAGCGTGCACTCCCATAGCTTAAGCTGGAGCTAACAAGAGAGTGTCAACCTATCCCTGTGGCATCTGAGCACCTTACATGCTAATGGATCTCTCCTCACAGCACCTCTTGGTAAGGCAGGACAGAGGTGCTATGCCCATTGTACAGACGAGTGAGGCCCATCCCTGTGGCATCTGAGCACCTCACACTCTAATGGATCTCTCCTCATAGCACCTCTTGGTAAGGCAGGACAGAGGTGCTATGCCCATTGTACAGACGAGTGAGGCCCAGAAGCCACGTGACTTGCCCAGGATGTCTCGGCGTGTGTGACAGAATCAAACGCAGGCCTCTTACATCTTAGGTGAGTGCGGTAACCACCAATCCATCCTTCCTCTCTACATGGTTTCTAAGCTTGTAAGTCAGTGAACATTTTTCTAGCAGGAAATACATGAGTTATGATCCCTTCTTCAAACTCTTCTTTTGCAGCATCAGAACTACGCTTTTCCCGCAATTCTTGGACACTGCTGGCTTGTGACTGGTTAATATGTCCCTGATGCGGTGAAGGGTACATGCAGGAAGCATTTGCTTTAATTAACACTTCCACAGGCCCTTCCAAGCAAGGATACAGGCAGGCTGCGTGTCTGCAATACGCAATAAAGGGGATTTGTGGTGCAACCAGGCCTAAACTTGCCTGTTGAAATGAAAGCTCGATGGATCGATACCAGATCAATACCGTTCTTTCCACTGTCTTCCCACAGCTGTTCATCCCATCCCCCTCCACATGACTTCAGCAGCAGCAGCTCAACAGCAGCCTGGAACCCCCTCCGCGCACACATTTATTAGTTGGACAAGTCATCCAAGTTTGCCACGTGCATGAAGGAGAGCGTTTCGCCTACACACGAAGGACCATGCCCATACCCACCCCTGTAGTAGATACGGGGAGAGTAACAGGGATGCAATAGGGTAGGCGATTAACTGAGAAGCAAAAGCTTACAGGTTAATGCTATAGACCAGTGGTTCCCAACCTGTGGTCCACACACCCCTAGTGGTCCGCGACAGGACTGAAGGGGGGGTGCACAGAAAGTTGGAAGCGGAGAGGCTCCGCGCTGGCTGCTGGCAAGTCCCTCAGCCCGCACTGCTTCCCGAGCTGCGGGAAGCAACGTGGGTTGAAGGACGTGCTGGCTGCCAGCACGGAGCCTCTCAGCTAAGAGGGCGCGAGCGGAGGGACGTGCAGGCTGCTGGCACATCTGTATTGCTTGGGGGGAGGGTCCATAAAATGTTAATCTATTGAAAAGGGGTCCGTAGGCTAGAAAAGGTTGGGAGCCGCTGCTATAGACTACAGGCAATTCCCTCCACCCCCCAGTACATCTTTTAGCAGGCCGGCCAGCAGCCTGGCTCAGTCCTGGCTTGCGTGGGGTCCAGAACCTCCCCCCCGCAGCTCTGCCTTTTAAAGATATTAGGAACTAGGCGGGCAGGCAGCCCAGCTCAGTTCCAGCTCTGGGAGCTCAGACCCCCGGACAGGGGCAGCTGCCACCCCACGCCGCTGCCTCTGTATCAGAGTAGGAACTAGGCGGGCAGGCAGCCCAGCTCAGTTCCAGCTCTGGGAGCTCAGACCCCCGGACAGGGGCAGCTGCCACCCTACGCTGCTGCCTCTGTATCAGAGAGAGTAGGGTGGCAGGGGGCTCCTTGAGAGAGGGGTCAGAGCACACTGCCTGCCGGCCCCACGCCCAGGGACCACAGAATAGTCAAGTAACTGATAAGAATTCATGAGGTTACTCGACTGTTTAATGAACCGATATTTAACATCCCTAGTGGGTAATAACACGGCAGCGGTTCGCCAGGGTTCGGCTGATAGGCTGCAGCTGCTATATTTACCTGTACAGCCGCAGCTCCCGTTCGCCATGGATCGCTGTTTCCGGCCAATGGGAGCAGCAGGAAGTAGTGCAGACTGGGACACTACTTCCTGCTGCTCCTATTGGCCAGGAACGGTGCTCAGCAGCCAACGGGCACGGCAGTCGCCAGTATCTGGGGCCATGCAGGTCAATATAGCAGTGGGGGCCCATCAGGCACGAAACCTAGTGGGCCGGATGCAGCCTGCAGGCCAGTATTTGCCCACTCTGATGTGGTACAGAACCGCCACTCCACAAGCCTCTCCAACCCCATTACTCCTTGATGGGAACCCAAGTGCCTACAATTATCATACAGCAAAGAGATGGGGGGGGAGGGAGGAGCCATCTGTGCTTTGCAACGGCAATCAGACAGGCTTCCAGGACCAGACCAGCTGTGCTGCAAAAGGACTCACCCAAAATGGGGTTTCATTAAACAGAAATGATTTTCATGGGTAACTAAACTCCAGCAAATAAAGGCCATTAAGCCCTCTGGGAATGCTCTGACGGTACGTCTACACCATGGCACTATTTCGGGATACTTCCAGTATCCCAAAATAGCTATTCCATATCTTGACAGCGTGCCTGTTATTTCAAAATAACAGGCGCGCTAGTCAGCCATCCCTGTAAACCTCGTTCCACAAGGATTAAAGGACATTTTGGAATAGCTGTTTGTTTTGAAATGTGGCGCTGTGTAGACAGTGCCAAATTATGAAATAAGCTATTTCGAAATACACTCAAAAGAAGTTATGCAATTTGCTTAGCTCAAACTGCATAGCTTATTCCGAGCTCAGGGTGCAGCGTAGAAGCACCCGAGAGACAAACAAAACAGATTTGCCGTCTGAGGCCAAGAGAAAGCACTTACGCAGGCCTGCCCCAGACCCTGCCAACTAAAGCACACAGCTGCCAGGTTCACAGAATGCTTTTAAAATCCTGCAGCCACCCTGGGCATTTCCCTATGGAAGCAGATTCTCATCTGTGATAAACAAGAGTCTGCAGCGAGCCACAAGGTGCTTGTAACTATTTATTGTGTTTGTATCTCGGTTCAACACGCTGACAAAAAACCAATAAATACGATCAAGGGCTGCCATGTGCGCGGTCTGGACCTATCCAGCACAGCGAGGAGAACCAGACAGTGCAGCTTCCAAGCGGAAGGACACGAAATGGGCCTAATGGGACAAGAGGCCCAGGGCATCACAAGGGGCTGCTGTATCGACTCGGATCTGGTTTCTCTTAAGATAACCACAGTTGTTGCCTGTAAACCCATCGAATAACCAGGCGGTCAATGGTTTGTAAGGTAGAAGCCAGGCAGTAGGTTTTTGAAACATGCATGTTTTAGGAGACAGCAGCCCCGAGTGTCGTCCCTGTGGTCCCCATGATGCAACACTAACAAAGAGGCAGTCTCAATGGTTGTGAGGCCTGCCCCTCCCTCTCCCCCGGCCCCCAGGAGGGGCGTCTACTGTAGAACGGGGATTCTTGATGGTTTCATCTACAGACATGATAAGGCAAGCAGCCTCAGACGCTGCCGTCAGAGCGTTGATGCGCACAATGGCCGGCTCCCACACGTAGGCTTCAAAGTTATCGGCAATGTCTTCGTTGCTCACGTCCACCCCGTACCAGGTGCCGCCCTGAGGAAGAGAGCAGGAGGGAGAGTCAGAGACGGGAGGGTACAAAGAGGGAGGAGAAGGGAGATGGCGCCTGCGTGCCAACATACAGCAGGTGGACAGCAAGTCTCCTGCTTAACTTATTTATAATCAGTCTTGTCTGAGGGAAATATTAGCTCTTGGCACATTCCAGCTGCCAATTACAAACCACTAATTGCACTACAAACCGCACAGAGAAACTAGCAAAGAGATTAAAGCGTCCCCTGCAGACAAATTCAGGAATTGCCAGCTCCTGGCCCTGGGTTCAGACTGCACCTTTCCTAAGCAAACGTGGTAATAACGTCCCTTTACGTAGCTTTTTACAAACACTCCTTCAGTAGCACAGCTAACGCTCCTGGGCTGCAGCCATCTCTGGAGTCGGACACGGCAAAGATCACAAACACTGCTCACCCGCTGGGAAGAACAACGCTGCAGCCAAGCAAACCTTCCAGGGGCACTCGGAGGCAACATTTGCCTAAACGGGAATCTGGGCAGGACGCCCTGGCTCTAAAAGTCACCCCACAGCTGTGATCTAAAGCAGTGGTGCCCAAACTTTTCGGCATCACGCCTTTTTGATTTTTGAGAAACACTCACGCCCCCTCCCCAATAGCAGCAAAACTTGAGCAAAAAACAAAAAAACACCCCAAAACAGCAGCACAACTTGGGGGGGGAGGATTGATGGGAGGGAGCTGGGTTGCCTCGCACCTCTCCCCCCCCGGAATTTCTTCACACACCCCAGTTTGGGAACCCATGATCTAAAGGAAAATCATTTCTCTTTCTAACCAGCAGATTCCTTGTCACGTCTGAAAACCAACCACAGCACTTAAAGAGGCAGCAACTGAAACGTTCCAGTTGCACTGCTGCTCTGTTCCGCTCACGTGGAAAATTCAGTGTCACTGGACACACGTTCACCAAGGGGGCGAGCCCACCTGAGCATGTTTGGCTCTCAGTTTGTTGAGAATGTTGGTGGCGTCGAAGCCGGCGTTGTCGCAGAGCTGGCGTGGAATGATCTCCAGGGCTTTGGCGTAAGCGCCTATCAACAACTGCTGTTTGCCCGGAATGGTCCTGGAGTAGTCCCGGAGGTACTTCGAAAGTTCCATCTCTATTGCGCCGCCGCCAGCAACGATGGAGTCGTTCTGAAAGGGAGCAACGCAGCCCATTACCTTTCTCCAGGGACGACCGTCACACAGAAACCAATTACCTGGCCACTTCCCCCTGTGCCCAGTGGAGAAAGCCCAGGGCACGAAATTAACCTGTTATGGGTCTAGTTGATGGTACCTCAATGCGTATTCACACAGTGGTAGCAATAGGTGTAGTGTGCTCTCCTAACGCCCACCCAGCGCTAGGAGCCGTCTCTCAAAGGCGACAAGCACATGAAGGGTGGGGACAGGGCTAATAGTCCTAAAACTCACTGTCCCAGCACCCCTACACTGATCTGAGCCAGCAGCTGCTTGCAGGGTTACCGGGATGCGTTACAAAGAGCGAGCGGGGCAGGAGTGAAAAAAGCCTGGAGGGAAGCGTGTCGGGGTACTCTGCTAAGGTACCATCGGAACCGAACGGAAGAGCCATCGTGCATCACGGGATTCCTCCTCACTCAGCTGAGTGGGGGGTAGCGCGCAAGCCCTGGCTGGGCAGAGGGCAGTTCTAGCTGCCACAGCTGTGCGCGAGGGGAACGCCAGACAGAGGTCAAGGTTTCGGAGAGCGTGGTCCCTTTAACACTGGCCAGCTCTGTTCACTCACTCCAAGTGCAGACCGACAGAATGGCTTCTCCTGAGATGGCAGGAGCCTCCCGTCCCCAAGCAAACCCGCTGTCACTTTCCCTGCCCTTCACACTTTCCCAAAACACCCATCCACCCAAGGCTCTGCATGGGATTCATCTCCTTGCTGAGGAAGGTCACTTTGGAGTCCTAGACATGGGGCGAGGGCCCTTCCAACAAGAACCCCAGCCTGTGGCAAATGTAACGTCTCCAGCTCCTTCATACCTTGATCGCTCTCCTGACTATCTTCCATAAACTGCTCTGCACCTCCTCGCAGGATGAGCGTGCATGTCTTTGCCTTCGGACAGCCCGTGAAGAAGTTGTACCTGCCAGGAGCAGAGCGCGGCGAGAGTCAGCTATGCCCAGAGAGCCAGCACCTGGGTCTCATGAACACACACACGCACACAGTCTGGGGCAAAGGGGGAGGAGTGTACATCAATGCTGCACTGGCGGACAGCGCCCTGACAGGCTGTGCAGACCCTGCTGTCGCATGCCAGCAGCTCTGGAACGTGTTCTGACACAGCGCGCTTGGAAAGGGGAGCTGACTGAAACACACTAGGAACTGTTATGCACAGCCAGCCAGCGTGAGACTACCCCGGCTTGCGGCAGACTAAGTGTTCGGCTAGGCAAGCCCTTGGGCAGCTTTGCAAGGTGCTGCCTGGGTTATCAGGCAAGAGAGAGGAATTCCTTCGGCCAGGCAAGCCCTTGGGCAGCTTTGCAAGGTGCTGCCTGGGTTATCAGGCAAGAGAGAGGAATTCCTTGCCAATGCTGACCGTGCACTTGTAGCCCTTCTAACTGGTGTGGAGACCCTGCTGAAGCTGCAGCTGGACAGAGGAGGGCCAGATTAGGATGCGTGTTCTCCTGCAAAAGCCCAGACATTATTCCCCCAGTGAACAGGCAAGCCCTTGGGCAGCTTTGCAAGGTGCTGCCTGGGTTATCAGGCAAGAGAGAGGAATTCCTTGCCAATGCTGACCGTGCACTTGTAGCCCTTCTAACTGGTGTGGAGACCCTGCTGAAGCTGCAGCTGGACAGAGGAGGGCCAGATTAGGATGCGTGTTCTCCTGCAAAAGCCCAGACATTATTCCCCCAGTGAAATCAGGGGTGGGGGGGGGCCTTTCCCGAGGCCCAACAGGACCAAGAGAGGAGAAAACCAGTTAGAGGGGTTAAGATGTTGGGCGTTGGTCTCCATCCGGATCTCTCCCTCAAGATGCCACAGGATAAAAAAAAAAAAATCTGAAAATCCACTGAGGTATGGGATCAAGCTTGGCTTTGCGCTAGCCGATGGAAAACGTTGCTGTGGGGTGTTAAGACGGCTGCCGTCTCAACTCCAGAAGGGGCTACATTTCAGTGACGGATGAGGGGACGCCTGGGCACTATTTGAACACCACTGACGAATCCTCTGGGGGCGAAAGTCACTAGGTAGGAACAAGGCACTCTATTAAATCTACTGGCCCTCAGGAGGGGAGAGGAGGTGTGATACTCTTGGCCTAGTTTTCGCCTGAAGCCAGAGGCCAAGCCAAACAATGGGGACACACTCAAACACGCCGTCATTTCACCAGCTTAGCGCTTTACCATCAGCTGCAGGGCAAGGAAGCATTCACGCTCATGTAGAATTACCTATCTCCTCCAATCTGGGCCTCCTCAAAGAGCTCGCACAGTCCCAGAACCTCATCAGTCAGGGAATTAACGCTAGTCTGAATAGATCCACCGCAGGCCTGCAAGGTACAGAAGAGAAATCTGAAAACCCACGGCGGTATGGGATTACGCTTCAGTGTCACAGCAGAGGGACAGGCCCAGATAAGGGTTCCTGTTCTGCAATGGCAGCACGGCCACAGAGCCCGGTTGGAATATCTTATTCCCCGACACGGACAGTGTCAGCTATAGCCGTAGCCGTCCCCAGGAGAAGGCTTGAGAAGCAGCCAGCAAAAGAGAAGAGAAAGTGCCCTGGGCTAGCACAGCCCCTACATGCAGGGCTGGGAAGGCCTGACTGTTACACTGAGACGAGCAATAGCCCCTTCACATGAGAACTGGACTGGCACAAGCGCTGGCGTGACCAGGCCGAAGCAGGACACAAGCACATTATGCTAATAGAGATCCTTGCCGCAGAGCAGCGCACTGTTTTGCGGACATCAAAAACTCCAGTGACGGAGGTTAAGCACCCTACCCACGTACAGGGGGATAAACGGAGGAGTAAAGGAAATGCTGAGTTAGGTGCCCGTCTCCCACTGGGGTGTGTGCGTTTAACACCCCCAAGCTCCTCTGAAAATCCCAGCATGAGTGACTTGCTCAAAGCCACCAAATGTCTGTAGCAATGCCAACAAAACAACACAGGCCTCCTTTTCCAGCCACTTCCAGTACAATCGCCCTGTACAGTCCGGCTTTTAATACAGCCCTCCATATATCAGCGCAGCATCAAATGCTTCAGCTATTTTAAACTCTTCACTCCTAACAACCCTTTCCTGGTGCCATCTGCATTGTTACTACAGCGCTTCGGGAGTGACCTGCCCAGCAAACAGGCACCAACACGGACTAATAGCAAACCTAAACCCGTTATTTTAAAAAAAGATATTACCATCATAGTCCTTTTGAGATCTTCCTCCGGCACTCGACCAGCACAAAACATGTCTCTGTCTGCGAAGTACTGAGTAGCTACGTCGCCAATCGGCAGTTTGGACAAGACAACTTTGGCTCCCGACTTGTGGATTTTGTCTAACTTGTCATACAAGATGCTCCACTCTGCATCCACAATGGCCTGGTAATCCTAGTGCAAAAAAACCGACACACAAGCTTTCAACGCAGTTTCACTGCAAATGCCGCCACAGGTTTACCTGCACTGGGTTATCCCTTGCGAGACAAAGGCAGCAGTAAGGTACTATATACAGCCTTGGAAAGATGGGCTGTTTTACAGTCAGAGGCAATTTTAGGTCACTCGTTTTATAGAGAGACACTGACACAGTTCCAAAGCTCAAAGCAGCATGACTAACTCGGAGGGGCTGACAGGAAGACAGAGGCAGCTCAGTATATCTTGAAAAGAGGTGATTAACAGGAAGAAAGAGTGGTACAAGTATCTGAGCAGCTTTTATAGGAAGGAGAGGAGATTTCCTCAGCCTGACTACATGAGACACACATATAACATACACTACAAGAGAGAATGCAGATAACCACTGATATTTATCTTGTGTTTTCCCACACTGTTCAGCCGTTACAAGGCAAACACAGAAGAGTCATTCCAGACATCAGTAAAATACAGTCACTGCTGGCTGGAAAGGATTTAAACTGGGCACAGCAACATGGTGCCATCATTCAGGACAGAAAGAAAAGAAAACCATGTTTTCACAGAGAATGTACAGGGAACACAGCAATTACCCAGACTGTAACATGGCCAAGACACCAAGATTCACCCCTCTTTTTCTGCACAAATAAGAGGGGTCTCAAGTGACCACGACTGCCGTGGGAGCCAAAAATGAGGAACTTAGCCCTAGATTAAATTCTTAACCCTAACACTATCTCCAGGGTGTTTTGCCTTCAGCTTCCTTCCACGTGATGAGGGGGCCACTGTGTGCAGCTTCTGAGGGGGTGTTTAGCAAAAGCTACCCTTGCCCAATGGCTAAAAGCTTCACCTCCTTGTTTCAGTGCACTACGGGTCAGGCCCATGATTGTAAAATAAGCTCTTCCCCCATGAAATCTGATCTCCCCCTTGGCTATTGGGAGCACCCCAGCCAGGCGGTCCTAGCTACAAGTCCCCTGCCAGGCTAAGGAGGGACAGGATGGGTCCTTTCCTTTGCATGGCAGCTAGAGGGTGAGGGAGGGAGAGATCAAATCCACTTAAGAGGGCCCTTTTGGGTTAGGACCCCCATGGTTACAACACACTGAAATTCCAGGTGCAAACAACTGAAAACATGAAACTGACCATTAAGAAAAACCCTCTGCCTGTGAAATGGATCAAAATGGACCATGAATTTAGTAAGACCCTAACTATGTGACACTCTAGAGGGTTTCACGCATATATCAAAGTCAGTACTTAGGAGAAACTCAGTTCCAGTTTATCCAAAGGGCCAGTCACTGGTATAAATGCCACCTGAGCCATGGGCTAGAGTAGGTGCGCAACCTTTTTTCATTTGCAACCTCCTTGGGGGTCGCTGAATTTAGATGAGGAAAAAGAAAAAAAAAAAAAAAAGAGGAAGCGGTCCCTTTAATTGTCAGGCTGCTCTCCTGCCACTCTCCAACCCAGCCATGTGTACGTCGGGCCAGGAAAGCTAGGAAAAGCTGCCAGCTGAATCCAAGCATTGCGACTCCCCCGCCAACCCCCCAGGAAGGTAGCTGCGACCCACGGGTTGTGCACCGCTGGGCTAGAGCATGTTTCCAAAACTAGGGATCATGCCTCCCTGCCCCTGAGTACAGGGGGTGTCACAAGATGTGCATGTCACACAGCGTAAGGGGGCCATGTGCCCTGGCTACTGCTGCTTGACCACATTACGCGCGCTGTGTGGGGAGAACGCTGGCTCGGCTGCACAGTCGCTCGGCACCACGCAGTGTAAGAAGGGGACACTGACTAGCAGGGGGCTAATTTGGCTACGACAAATCAGGAAAGCAATCTTGGAGTTATCGTGGACAGTTCTCTGAAAACTTCCAGGCAGTGTGCAGTGGCGGGCAAAAAGGCAAATAGGTTGCTAGGAATTATTAGGAAAGGGATAGAAAATAAGACCCAGAATATCTTACTGCCCCTGTATAAAACTATGGGACGCCCACATCTGGAATACTGTGTACAGATGTGGTCTCCTCACCTCAAAAAAGATATTTTGGCCTTGGAAAGGGTTCAGAAAAGGGCAACTAAAATGATTAGGAGTTTGGAACGGGTCCCATATGAGGAGAGGTTAAAGCGACTGGGACTCTTCAGTTTAGAAAAGAGGAGACTGAGGGGGGATATGATAGAGGTCTATAAAATCATGAGTGGTGTGCAGAGGGCCGATAAAGAAAAGTTATTTATTAGTTCCTTAAATAGAAGAACTAGAGGACACCACATGAAATTAATGGGGAGCAGGTTTAAAACTAATAAAAAAAGTTCTTCTTCACACAGCGTGTAGTCAACCTGTGGAACTCCTTGCCAGAGGAGGCTGTGAAGGCTAGGACTATAACAGAGGTTAAAGAGAAGCTAGATAATTTCATGGAGGTTAGGTCCATAAAAGGCTATTAGCCAGGGGATAAAATGGTGTCCCTGGCCTCTGTCAGAGGCTGGAGAGGGATGGCAGGAGACAAATCGCTTGATCATTGTCTTTGGTCCACCCTCTCTGGGGCACCTGGTGCTGGCCACTGTTGGTAGACAGGATACTGGGCTAGATGGACCTTTGGTCTGACCCAGTACGGCCGTTCTTATGTTCTAGGAACGAGGCTTGCAGCAGCAGGAGAGCCAACCCCAAAAAGGTTCGGTTGTTTTCTGAGCCGGTGTCAATGCTTGTAATCAGGTGTCTTTGGGTTTGGAGCATGGGGCTCTCCCTCACACCCAAGGCTCACGTTAACAGAGGAGGCAGATTTCCCCACAGAACTGGAATGCCAGGCTTCAGTGGGAACAGCCTGACCAGAAACACGGACCTTAACTAGGCCAATGACACATGCCAATCCAAGCTGGTAGGACAAGGTCACGTGGCGCAGCGATAGGTCCATGGGGAACAGGCCAACCCCATCCAGGAGGGAACACACCGGACGTGCATGTTGGGCTTGGTCCTGTCCCTCCCGTTCAGCTCTTACCTCCACGTTGTTGACTCTCACTTCAGCATTGTCTTTCTCTGCTTTCAGCTCTAGCTCGATGTTCAGCAAAGCAATCCTGGGGGACTTGTACTTCTTCGGCTGCATCTCAAACCCGGCGTAAGAGAACGTCTTCTTAAAGGCGACTCCAGCCACCAGCTGGGACTCCTGAAAGAAGGGGTGTGATGATGCTGGGGTTAGCCAGGCAGGATTAACGAGCTCCAGTAGGACATCCTGCTTGCCCTGGGACAGCCATGTCTTTTGCTTAACCCACCCTCACAGAACACAAGTGGCAGACACTAGCGCCTCTCCCCTCAGCGCCTTCCCAGCCCTTAAGAGACCACCACCAAATGCTCAGGCTCACCCGACAGCTCGCTGTAGTAAGATGAAGGCCTAAAACAGAAGCCCATGCAGCACAGGTCTGAGGCCTGGCTTACAGTGGGCCAGGCATGGCTAATATAAAGCAAAGTTAAGCTGTGAGCAAGAGGCAGGCCCCTGTTCGCAGACCTCGGCACGAACAGGGCTGAAAGTGCAAAGCACTAACTGGTAATAGGCCCAGGTGTAGAAGTCATTGGTACTGGTCATAAGTAGAAAGCACATGGTACCACCAGCTCATTAAAAAAAGACCTTGGTGCCCACACTCCCTGCAGATACAGACTTAGGTTCAGGAAAGGGTCTAAAATGGTAGCAGGATGGACAGAGATGACCTAATCGAACTATGAGGTGCAGGGCGATGGGTGGTATCTAAGCAGCTTCAGAGGGTGCCAACCTGATACATCAGCAGTGATGTGTAAGTTGTTAGTACCTGTACGTAACGTGGTATCTTGGAGGGGACAGTTTTCGGACGACCTAGGGGACACTGGAAATTTCCCACTGAGTCATTCCATTGTCAGGGCTCGGTAGAGTCTACTGTCATTGCGTAGTGGCTCGGTAGAGTCTACTGACAGCTATTACTGTACTTCGCCTAACATTAAACCTGGCTGTGTGCTTTTGATCCTTATCTGGTTTGTGGTCTTCGGGAACTCTCCCGGGGTCTGTGTGGAGACTGAGTGCACAAGTCGACAGGACACACACATTGAGCACACATGCAAGCAGCCTTCTGGTTTTCATCATCCACGGAGCCAGAGACCTGGGAGGACACCTCGGCAGTAGCTCCTGACCCCTCCTGAGTAGCTGCACTCGCCACTCTCCCTCTGCTGCCTTTCCCTTTTGTACCCTTTGAAGTTACCCACCCCTGCCCTAACTTGGATCTTCTCTTGCCTTGTTCTAGAGCAGGGCTACTCAACTTTGGAAGCCCCAGGGCTACAATGATTTTCACAGCCCATGCCGAGGACCGCACCTTAAGTGTGGTTGCATATACGTGCAAATGTATATGCAAATATATGCAAATAGTTTCTTTCACACAGATGGGCACGAAGACAAAGATGAAGCCTTAAGCCGCGGCACTGGACCCAAACATGGCCAGTGTGAGCCACTCAGCACCTCTCAAGCTCTGCCCACAAGGCTAAGCAGCCAGCACGTCCCACAATGCCCCAGCGCTCCCGGCACCTCCTCCCTGGGGGCTAGAAATGTCGACACCCTGTACCTGTCTGTTCCAGCCAGCCCGTCCGCTTGTGTCTTTCAATGCTCACCCACCTGGGAGATGCCTCGCCATTGTGGAGCATGTTCCCAGCAGAGGCCGTGTTCAAAGGGTCCCACCCGTGGCCCACGTGTTGAGCCCCGTGTAAACCCTACCGCCCCGCGGGCCGCAAACAAACACGTGGAGTAGACCTGTCCTAGACGGCAGCCCTGAGGGTCATCTCCAGCCCAGAGTGGCTCTTCACAGGAGGCTGGCCTGCCCAATGCTGCCCGCTATGGTGAAAGCTTTTTAACACTCCATAATGGACTGAAAAAAGTGAACATCACGCTCCGTTCCCTAAGCTACATCTTTCTAAGTGCCCACTAGCTTCCACACCGACCTCCCCCAGCTCTAACCCTAACCCTAACCCTGGCCGACCCAGGGAAGTACAGTCTCGAGGCCATTCCGGGGCTTCTGCACCAGCCCTCCAGAAACGGCCAGTGTCCTTTCACAGCACTCCTCTGTCCGAGGAGTCCGGGCACAGCACCAGCCCGTGAGTTACAACATCCTCCTGTCTATCCCAGGCACTCAGAGCCCACATGCAGCATGCTCAGCATGACCAAGAGGAGCTGCCAGCCACAAAAGCCATCCCTAGGGTACGTGAGCAGCACCCCCACAGTGCCCCAAAACGTTCACCCGGCCTGGGTGAGGAGTGACCTCAAGTCTTCAACAGACACCATAGGAAGCAGGAGGCTGCTCTATTCCGAGGCCTGCCCTGCTACACCCCTCAAAACAGAAACTAGGGAAAACTATCCCGCAAATGGCCCAACACCAAATTCAAAGGCCAACAGCATCTGACAAAACTAGCCTCCGTTCTCTGGAACTCCTGCCAGGAACGGCTGATGATTTTCCTTAGAAAGGAAGGAAACAGGGTGGCCTTTCCCATCTGATATCAGCTGGAGGGAGTTTTCTGCGCTTCCCTGAAATGTTAACAGCCTGACTGTTATGGCTGGGTGCATGAGAACCAATTCCGATTTACTACATTAATGGCAGGGGGATGGTAATGGCTTAGGGATCATCTCTATTCTCCATGGAAATGCTTGTGTGAAATGTTTATCCACAGAAACAAGCACAGAACAGAGATTAGGACAGGCTCAACTTTTCAGTAGTGATACGCCAACTAACCCACCATCTACACGGGACTGAGATATAACAGACTGAGACAGCACCAACCCCCTCTTGGCCCAGGAACTGTTTTCAAAGTACAGTAAAACTCCAATGGTCAGGCATCTGATGGTCTGGCACCATCAGGAACCCGGAAGTGCTCCGGGCAGCCGGACCA